AACCTCCTATCAGTAAATCAGGAATTACTCGTTAAGTACCTCCCATATGCCTGGTATTGTGCTAGGAAAACAAATACAAAGAATAAAACAATCCCTGCTTGCAATGTGTTTATATTCTAATGGATAAGTACTTATGAAAATATATCAAGCACAAATATAAAAATACATACACGATAGTTTGGAGGTTGAGGGAGATCAAAACAGGCTTCATACAGAAGATGGTGTCTGAGCTTTAAATTAAAGGAAGAGAGGCCTTCCTGCCTCAGGTCTCTTTCCCACTCTAATCTACCCTTACATGTTACTGCCAAAATAATTTTTCTTAACCACAGATATGACTCTTTGACTTCCCTCCTCAATCAACTCCACTGGCTTCCTATTACCTATATATAAGGTGCATTGGGTGTATTGGGAGGACTAGCACCTTTGGTCTAAAGGCTCACCTAGCCCTTTTCAGGGCTACTCATCCACCTTTGGTGTCAACCTTCACCCAACTCTCATCTATAGGCTCCAAGAAGCTATAGCACGTACTGTGGGCAGACCTCACATCTCAGCAAACCTGGGCTAAACCAAATTGAAGGCAACTGACAGGCCTCAAACCCAATCAGGAAGTTAGGGGAATGTCTACCCCAAGCGTGTTAAGACTTTTCACAGGCAAAATGATCAGATAACAATTTGTTCCAGTGGCTATGAAGGTGACTAACACAGGTAATGTGGAGTGCTCAGAGCTTAGTCAGGCATTGAAGATATTAATGTCATCCATTGTATCCCAAACCATCACCAGTCATTTTGACTTTTGTTGTGTCAGTGGACTTTGATGATTCAGGAAGAGAAAGTAAGGCTGAACTTTGGGCAACTCTGCCTCATTTAAATACAATTCATGACTATGTCAAGACACACTGGTCATCTTCAAAAATGAAGGACGAACAACAGGAACAACTTTTTCCCTAATTGTTACTTGTTCCCTCTCCCTATTTCTCTGTTGAGTTTAATGTATTTCTGTGCGTATATTTTCTCACCTTTCACCTGTTCAGATGAGAGTAATGTTCAAGCATCAGTAACTCTCCTTATCTCTTCCTTCTGCTTTGCAAAGACAACTACTTGCACACCCAGTTTGAGAAAAATTTCCATAAACCTTCCTCTTTCCTGCCCTAGTGTATTCCTCTTCCTATCCTTTTCTATTCTTTAAGACCATCAAGACATAACAGAACCACTCCCAAGCCTTCTGTCTAGATTCCCTCTATGACCCCTGATGATGGGGGTCAGAGGAGACAAATGTATCATCTTCCCATATTGGAATATAAGCATTTTATAGTCCCTTATGAGTCTTTATTCATGTTTACCTTTTCAGATTTCAATTGACTCCCTGTTTGCACCTCAAAGTTTCTATGTGGCTCTAATCTTTTCATGAAAAATGCTTGGAAGCCCTCTTTAAAAGACAACTTTCTCCTCTTGAAGCATAATACTCAGTTTTTGCTGGTGAGTTATTCTTGGTTGTAAGCCTATGTCATTTGCCTTTTGGAATCCAATATTCTTAGCTCTCTGCTCCTTGTTAGTGGTAGCAGAAAAATCATATGTGATATTGCCTGTGGTTCCTTGGTAACTGAATTCTGATTGTGTACATTGGCTCCTCCATCATAAGCTCCTTGAAGGCAGAGGCTGTCTTTAGTGTCCTTTTGTTTCCCTAGCACTTACGGGGCATGGCACAAAGTAGGCATTGAATACATGTTTATCGACTGATTGCAGGATTTTTTTCCTTTGATGTAGAAGCTCTGGATTTTGGTTATTATGTTCCTGGGAGTTTCTTTCAGAAGGTGACTAGTGGATTCTTTCTATTTTGTTCTCTGAGTTTAAGAGATTTGAGCAGTTTTAAGACTTCTTGAAAGATGATGTCTAAGCTTTTTTTTTGGTCACGACTTTCATTTCAGGTAATTCTGTGATTCTTACATTTTCTCTTGATTACTTTTCCAGGTCATTTATTACTGCTGTGATTCTTTATATCTTATTTTACACTTTCAGCCTTTTGACTTTAATATCTCTTATTGTAACATGAAGTTACGGACTTCTATTTGTTCCATTCTAATTTTCTGAGAGGTTGTTGTTTCGGAAGGGTTTTGCATCTCTTATGCTGAGCTGTTACTTCCCTTTCTCATTCTTTCTTACATAGCTCTCATTTCTTTTCCCATTTTTCCCTGTATTATTCTCATTTCATTTATAAAAGCATTTTTTTTTTTACTCTTTAACTCTTGATTATCTCTTTCAGGAATTCTAATTTATGCTTGTAGTTTTGGAGTCATCGTCTTCTGGGTTTGTGTCTCGAGGGCCTCTGTCCCCATAAGGGCTTTTGTTGTTGTTGTTGGCAGGATTCTTTTTTTTTTTTCCTCATTCTTCTAATCTACTTCCTTACTTCAGACTTTATATTAGGGCCAGGCCCTGCACACTTCTGGAAGCAATGTCTGGGCTGATCCTGCTGCTGATTTCTTGAGCATTGTGTTATTCCAGGATTTCAGGGACAACTCAACTTAAGAACTTGTAAGTTTTTAGTGCTCCTAAAGTGATCTGATGCAGGGCAAAATCTGTTCATTGCCTCTCAGGTCTGAGCTGTGCCAGTTCCTGAACTGGGTTTGGGTTTGATCAACAAGAGAATGCTGCTGGACTTAGTCACTCACTATCTGCCACTGAGGAAGATCTGCTGGTTCAGGGACGGTACTCCAAGTTCTCCTTTGGTCTGGGATTCATTCCCTAATTATTCTTCTGCAGGGTTCAGCCTACGCCAGAAGCTAGAACTGAGACATCGCTTCACTCCTGAGGTCTGCAGCTACACAGCTGTCATTTGCTTCTGAACTTGCTGTTTGTGGAGTACTAGGACCACCAGAGATTGCTCCTCATTCTGGACATGCCATCCATAAGCACAAGACCCTTCCTCTTTCCACTCTGGATCTATGAATCATAAATAGTACTAAGTGACAAAGCTATAAGCTGGTACCTGTTCTTGCAGTCTTTATAAGTTTAGACCCCTCTATATTGGACCTGGGCCTCCTCTTGCCTGGTGCACAGCCAATTCTGACCTGGGATGCTCTATGCAGTATGCTCCTGGTCAGATTCCCTCCCCAGGGTCCACAGACCACTCTGTTTCACTATACCAACCTGGGCTGGAAAAATGACTGCAATTTTTCCCCCCTAGGATTTCCTGATCAGGATTCAGTCTGATGTACTTTCCAGATGTTTGGGATGTTTGTTTTTTCTTTGGGGGGGGGATACTATTACGGTGGAGGGAGAGAGAGAATAAGAAGAACTTGCTCTACTCTTTCCTACTTCATCATCTTGGCTCTGTCTCCCCTTCACTTAGAAATAGCTTAATTCTCAGAACAAAGGAATAAGATTTAGTAAGAGGAACTGGAAGAATGGTTCATAGATCTATGGACCTCAAAAGCCATCTTGTACAACTCTTTCACTTTACAGATGAGGAAACTGAGAGTCAGGGAAGTTAAATGACTTGCTCAAAAATCTCACAGGTACTATCAGGTGGGATTTGAACTCAGGTCTTGCAACTCCAGAACCAGTGATCTTTTCATTTTTCTTTCCATCTGGTTAACATTTTGGGGATAATTGAGCAGAGCAGGAAACTGTTCCAAGGCCTCCAGGAATTCCCTGAATTCACAGTCCAAGGAAACCCAACCAACCAGACTTCCTTATTTCTCTAGTGCCCATAAACCAGGTGTTCTGGAAATCCTTAATAGACAAAAATCACAGGTGCTGAAAGCACAGAGCCCAAAGAGAGCTATTAATATAACGTTGATACTCCTGTACTGTCTATCCCTCATCCTCAACTGAAAACTTGCCTTGCCTGTAATGTCAAGGGAGGTGGGATGTAGGCAAGACAGGGGATTCCAATGGTGACAAACAGAATAAAAACCCAGAGCAAGATTAAAAAAGGAATGGGCCCAAGACCCACTGTCAATGACAAAATGACAATGCTGTGTACAACATCTTTCACCTCCATCCAGAACTAACATCTACACTTTGCCAACTTCTTTATTTACTCTATTCACTCTAACCTGAATTCCTTCCTCCTAATTGGCTAAATCCTACCCATTACTCAAGCAATAGGAATTAAAACCAAAGCATAGCTTAAATCTTTTCTTACAGCGTTTCTCAATCCACCTCGGTTGGAAATGATCTCTCCCTCCCCTGAACTCTAATATTTATTGTCTATACTCACAGGAGCACTTTAACTATTTTATATTATTAGTTACAGCTTAATGTGTATCTTATCTCCTCAGCTGGACTGTAAGCTTCTTGATGGCAGATACCATCTTAATACTTTAGAGCCCCCATACTGTTAGGTAGGCCTTCAAAAACTCTCCCTAACTGATTAACAATGGCTATTAGATAATCTGAATGTCTATGTATCAGTTAGACTTCATTTTACAGGGTCACAGAATTAAAGAGTTAGTGCTGAAAGATATTTGGTCCAACTCCATTTTACAGATGTGGAAACTGAGACTCAAAGAAGGTGAAGTAACGCTGTCATCTAAGAAGCAGTATGGAATACAGACAATATCTGACCCCAGGTCCAAGCCCAGTAAGCTTTCCAGTGTACCACAAGACAACCTCTTTAAAGTACTCATATAATCTTCAAATCTAGATTCAAACAAGGTGAGGGGTGGGTGGGGCCTTAAAATTACCTACTCATCCTTTCCTTTTTATAGAAGATTAAATTAAAGTCCATGGGATAAATGGCTTACTACCACAGCAAGCTGATGATAGAGCTGGTAATGTAACCCAAGTTTCCTGATTTTCTCTTCAGAAATTTTTACCACATCATATTTCTACTACATGATGTCCCAACATTGACTGCAATACTATGCACAAAATAAGCAGTATAAAAGCTGTTCACTCACCACTTATCAATCAAAGATATAAACGTGCTTTTTGGATTTATTTTAAATGTTTTACATTAAATGAAATGCAACAGTAATTATTACATATCATTAAGACAACAGCACACACAAAGTACTTTAAGAACAGTGAACCAAAACCAAAAGAATGGTCATCAGTTCTGTTATAATAGAAAGTAAATTAAGTGCCACTTTATCATGTAAACCAAAACAAAACCAAACCCTATTGCTAGAAAGACACATACACAGAGGTGAAATAAGTAACAAATACATTTAAATAATCTGATCCACAGCCACATCAATCTCCTTTTAACTTGAAAGTATTAGTACTCTACATCTACAAAGTTTCAGAATCCTGTAAAAATTAAAGTCATCTTGGGTTAAAATACAGCACAACTTGTAAGGCAAAAATATAGGCATTATCATCCAGTTCTTTAATTTAACTTCACTAGAAATTTAAGGCAAACTTGGAACTTTTTGCTTAGTGTTTTAAACAATGAATGGAGCTTACAAATGTTAACCTGACAAAAGTTACAATAAATTACCTACAGTTAAATGTTACATGTAATAAAAAAGACATGTTCAACATGATTTTTCTCTCTGTAGAGATGTAAACTGGATTTTAATTTGTTTCTAAAATCATACCAGTCAGAAAATTTGTAAACCTATTGAATCTCTCACTTATTATAAGGATACTATACCTTAATAATGAAATCAATGTTTTAAGTGAAAATCGTCAGCCACAGAATAACCACACTTATTTAAAGTGCTTTTACAAAGAAAAAGAATGGAGTGGTTAAGAATTAGAACTGGATGCTAATTCAACATTGACATCTTATTTGAATATCTTAACTTTCAGACAGAAGACAAATTAACAGAAGTCACAGCAAGTTTACTGAACTTATCTGGTTTCCTAAAAATGTGCACTTGGGTGAACTACACAACAACAGCATTTCAAAACCAAAACAGAAAATAAACATGGTACTGTACATACATGTTATCTCTTCCCTAACCACATAATCAATATTAGCCACAACTTCATATGCCATTAAATTTTTTTTACTATTTTAATTATTGTACTTTTATTTTTTCTTTAAATTATCCAATTCCAGGCAATTTTGTATCCTAAAACATCCCTATTTTTGTTAACTATGACTGTTTCATACTTATAACCTTCAGGCTATACATTAAAGATTTGCCTATGTTGGTACTCTATCAAATTTGGCAATTAGGCTGCATAATCATTTTAAGATGTTGGAGTAAAGAAAGGTCCTAGAATCACACTTACTTAACTAAATAACTTTTTTCACATTTCATGCCATTTCCTAGCATTCATATTATATAACAAATTACTTACGTTCAAAAGAATTATAAACAAAGACAAACTGAAGTTTTACTATGCATCAATCTACTGTGATATATTGAAAATCACTGAAATTCTATTACCATGTCCAAAAGACATTGAATAGTGACTTCCAGGCCTGGTCTATAAAATATAAGTTGTTTAGTATTAATGGAAACAATTTTCATCTGACTTGACTAGCTTATTATTACTGATTTCCAAACTGGTTTTCAAAATGGATAAATCCTTTCCTACTTTTTTCTTCTCCTTTTTAGCTCAACATTTAATTAAAAAAAAACAACAACACAGCTTTAATCTTTATTATTTCTGCCCAAACAAGTTTAGGTAAATTGGATACTCACTACCCCTAACATAAGAAAAATACAATTCACCACAAGTATTTTAAGTAATAGATTACATCTTACATGTTTTCAGCTTGTCTCAGACCAGATCAACAATCTGGATGCTCATTAGCTACATGGATAATTCAGAACTTGTGGGAATGTCTGCAGTATGCATAGATGCCCAGAATACATAAAATGCTTACATTCCTTTGGTAACTTAAACAGACCTTTGGTGGGTTATTTCCCTATTTTGAGTCAATGAAGAAGATGCATGTATTTTCAAAGGATAATCTCTAATTATATTTCCAAAAGATGCTAACAAGTATCTTTCATTTGATCTGCTAAATTAGTTAATTATTTTGGAAGTTGGGGTAGCACATAAATAAAATTATTACATAATAAAGTTGATTATAAAGATTGGTCTATGCTGCACAATCTCCTTTGAATACCCCTATCTTCTAATAAAAGTAAGAAAAATGAATTAGTCATTTAAAAAATGAAGTTCTTTCTAACACGGCATATTTAATTATTTGGCTAAAAAAACCCAGAAAGAAACAGAAAGTAAATTGAATTTTAAATCGAAAGGAAACTTTTAAATTGCTTTTTATTAAATAAAATTTGTGCCCATCACAATTGGTGTACTCTTCTTCAATCATCAGACGATAAAATTAATGATCAAGTACTATTATTGCTATATATCATTTGGTCATTCAAAAAAGCAATGCAGAAAATATCTTTCCTGTCAATTTTATTATTTGTAGCTCCTGTTGTATTCTAAGTTAGCCAAGGGAAAATCACTTGCAAGATTTTGTAGTTTATACAAATAACTGTGAAACATGATGCTATGTTTTATGATACATATTCAGATCCACATCTGGAAGTTTATGGAAGAACAAGGAAAACTGCAGATTGCCTAGTTGCAACTAGTTTTTCAAAGAATGCAATGTATTATATACACACACTAAAAATTCACCTATATGTGATATAATTACAGATGGCTTAACAATTGTTTAGAACATTATGGCACTTACGAACGTAGTATGTGATGAGTGTTTGAGGTAAAAATATACACTGGCTTCAAGAATAACAAAAAGAGGAATGAGAAGATGAAGAAGTTAATCTGACAGGGAGAAAGGAGCTAGAGTGACTACAGTACCAAACTTGGTGATATAAGTACCGACATCATAATAAACGCAAGTTAAATGTGATTCCTTGCTTAAGACTAACAAACATTTAATAAAAAACACTATAGTAAATCCAGTTGCTTATTTCAATTAAGTTTTCATCTGGCTATAGCAAACAATGCTTATTTTAAGAAGTTAATAGCCAAAGTGAAATCAAATTTACTGAAGTAAACATTAGAATTCCAGTTTTTTTCAATAATGTTAAATATTTAATTTTATAGGATACGTATGCAATAATATATCATTGCCTGTCGCTTTTCACTTGCTATAATTTATTTCCATTTTTTAAGGGCAAGGATTATCACAAGAAAAAATGGCTGAACCACTATTCAGAAACTATAAAAAACAAAAAACTAAGCTGTTTAGATTTTTTAAAGTAACAAAATGTTACACACATTAGTACTGTTACTGACATTTCTCATAGGCACAAATGAATCAAGCCAAAAAAATATGAAAAATACTATTTGAATGTCATGCGTTACACATACTGAACTACCTTGAGAACATTGGTAATAGCCTTGTCATAGAACCTACGGTTAGCACCATTTTTATATCTCAACACTTTGAAAAACCAAATATACATTCTTAAAAAATAAAATTATTACAAATATATGAAAAAAATCTACTTGGGCTGGAGTACTTATAACCTCTTTCAAATACTTACATCGAAGCAGTCTGTGAAATCTGCTGAGCTGTTAAAGAAACATGAAACAAATCATATAACTAACTCCCAATCCATGTTCCTCTTGAAGTGAAAAAATCAATATAGCCTAGTTGGGTAAAAAAAAAAAATTAATCTAGCATTAACCTGTCCACATAAAAATGGTGTAAAAAAATTAATTGCTAATTTTTTTAAATGGCCCCAAAATAACATGATAGTTAAAGGTATGTGCCTTGTAAATATATCACTGAATATTCACCAATTAACCCCAGCCCTACACCCAAGCAGGAAGTATCGCCAACCTACTATGGTAATTGTTATTTACAAACCTTAAGTTACTGAAAAAAGGCAGCCCTTGAGTTAATTTATTTTAACAAAAAAATGAAGCACTGGGTTCCAATCAATCATGAAGACATATCTAACAATTATCAACAAATAGTGCATTCTTACAATACTCAAGCACCTCCTATACTATTCCAGGAAACTGCATGGAGGAAGAGAGAAGAAAAAAATGAAAAAATGTAGGCTCTTCTCACGTGTATGCCTATAAGTGTATGGCAAGCTACCATGTACCAAGCCAGTCTCAGGAAAAATGCTCCACTGAATTGGCAAGAGGGCTTCCTTTTTTTCCCCCCATCTGTTCGTATGTAATTAAGAGTAATCAAAGCTACTTATCAATTTAAAATACCCAATACAATTTTAAATAAGTCTTCATGCCACTCTGAGTAAAAAAAGTAAAGTATGCAGCTTCTGGGTCTTAGAAAACTGGGCATCTTTTCATGCAGTGCAAGATTCACCATCACATTGTGTCCATGAGTTCACACTTCTCAAAGTGCAGTTAATCCAAAATTACACCGACAGTACATCATGCCAGCAGAATCCAGCCATGTGTTTTCAATAGGGTCATATTTCTGTACAGTGTTCAAATAGGATGACCCTGAGTGACCACCAACCACATAAAGATAGTTATCAATTACTGCAGCACCAACTCCTGTAAAAGGTAGGTGAGAAACAAGGGAAATAAATAAAAATAAAGTATAAAATATAAAACAGCTCTTACTTTTCAGTTTGTAAAAAAGGATGTTTCCTAAAATTGTTTTTAGCACTCCAATGATTATAAACATATATGCATATGTATGTGTATTTGTATGTGATAAAATTTTATTATCTTCATTTGTTCTTTTAAACTATGGCTTTCCCCAAAATTAATGCTATAAAAACTATTTGTGATTAAACCTCAAACAGTATATTTCTATTTAATCATTTACTATTTTTATGTTGCTAAAAATAAATTATATTGACAATTTAAATGTTTACCCTAAGATACTGATACAATTTTATTTGAGCATAGAGGCTGATTTGGTTCTTTCAAAGAACCTCCAAGTTCATCCTTTTCTGGACCAGAACCCTATGAAAAGCAATATTTAAAGTTTATATGAGTATAATTTAAATGTTTGAAAAGGATATCTTATACAAATTACAAAATGTTAGATATAGAAGGAACTCTAAAAGATCATTTAGTTCAATTACTTCATTTTCCTGAGTTTGGTAAAAAAGATGGCCCAAAGAGTTAAACAAGGTCACACAGTGGTTTTCTGATTCCAAGTGCAGGGGACTCTTTCCAACACACCACCACCCCATAGTCTATTGTTTGTGTGTGTGTGTGTGTGTGTGTGTGTGTGTGCGCGCGCGCGTGGGGCGCAAACTTATATACTTGTAATCTGGGTAGATATCAAAAGAAAAGCTTCCAGAGTGATGTGCAATGCATATGGTTAGTAAGTAATACTGATTATTACCTGTCCTGGGTTCCTTCATTGGTCTACACAAAGTCCACTGATTTTGATGAGGGTCATATCTTTCAATACTTGATAAATGGGAAACACCATTATGTCCACCCACTACAAAAAGGAAGCCTAGCATAACACCAACACCAAAGTTAATCCTTTTATCTGCCATTGATGCGACCATTTCCCAAGAGTCTTTACTTGGATCATAACGTTCCACACTGCAGACATTTAGAAAAAAGAGAGCATTAGTTTCCATACCCTTTATACTATTCATACCATGCAAAAGCCTATTATAGGTCTAGATTTCAGAATAAACAAGTAAAATGATGAAAGAAAATGGGTTGTACACTGAAATCAACTACACATTCAAAAGATGAGGCAAAAACTGAAAACTAAAGACAAATCAATATGCTGAACAGACTTTAGACTTCTGCTATTAAGATGGAATGGAAACTGATTTAGTAGCTATGGGCTATATCTATTCAAAAAGGCACATACTTGAGATCTAACCACAACAGAATTCTGGTAAAGGAGTTCAAAAGGGGATACTGTTGAACCATGCTGATTTGTTGCTTTGCCCCAAATTCAATAATTATAATTAGTTCACTGCCCTGATTTCTAAATACTAAAGTTAAGGATGCTTTTGGGGCACTTGGAATCACCACAGAAGTCTGAGTCAGAGCTGAGGAATACACACTTGAGATTGTGGACACTAAAAAAAGTCCCTCTAGAATTAGGATAATCTCTAAAATTCAGATGATCCTTAAGCATGTGAGGGCTAAATCTAGGTTGACATTGGGACTTGCAAGTTGCTTTATATAAATGTCCAAATCAATCCAGACCTTCCTGAAATCATCCCTAAAGAAAAACCTTTGGAATGTTCTGGATCAGAAAAGAAGCCCTGTATTGTATTTCTGGTCCTGACCAAGAATTTGGGACCTTCTGGACTAAAGTTCACTATTAGACTATATGGCAAAGTAAGTATACTGTATACAAAAAACATGGGTCAAAACCCACAAGAATATGGTCAAATGCCAATGGGAAACTGCATTCTTTAAGAGTTCTTTTCCCAATTTATAATACACACTATGGTCACTTTGTCAAATTCCTAAGCAACAGTTTTTCAAAGTATGGTGTTGCATATCTAGGGCCCAAAATGACTGTCTGCCATTACAAATGCATGTTAGATAAACAACAAGGGGAAGAGATTAAGTCTAAAAAAAATGCCACTCCAGTGGGGTGATTTTGAAAATGTTTGCTTTAGATGTTTGCTGTAGATACTTCTTCAAATTCAGTTTCATCAAACAGATCACTCTTCTCTTTTTTCATGCATTTCAGAAGTAAAAACAAATACAGTGCTGATAGTTAAAGTAAATGTAATCTATACAGTTAATGCATTTCCATGTAATATTTAGGAATCTGGATTAATTCATTATAATGACAAACTATTCATTTGTATTTTTATCCACTATATGACCTCTTTTGATCAATATACTGTTAAGTTCTTTGTGTGCGTGTGTGTGTGGCAGCTGGGGTTAAGTGACTTGCCCAGAGTCACACAGCTAGTCAGTGGTTATGTGTCTGAGGCCCTGTTTGAACTCAGGTCCTCCTGACTCCAGCGCCTGGTGCTCTATCCACTGCAACACCTAGCTGCCCCATACTGTTAAGTTCTCAGACAACAAGTACTGTTTTATTTTTGCCTTTGTATCCTAGCAAAGTGCCTGATACATGGTAAGTACTGACTAAACGAATATTTCAGAATATAGTAAAGTCCCATTTATTTATATTTATACTTCAGTTTGGATGCAATAGTTCCAAAAGATTAAGACACAGAACATAAATAACATAAATTAAAATGTAAGCTTACTGTGAATTAGTTTTTCTATTACTTTGTTAATCTGAAAAGAAATCAAATATATATCCTTTTACAAGCTTTTATCTGAAACTACAGCTTTCTAAATTACGTCCATTTTTGAGGTACCTAAAATTAAAAAGTGAATCCACATAAAGTTTACTGCCACTTCTCTAAATACTCCTCCCACCCTGCAAGGCAGACACCTCACATATGCTAAGAACTCCTGGGCCTTGCCATCTTTCCTGCAGTTGAACCCTCCTCTCTCCATATATATTATTTCCCTTAAATAAAGTATGAGTGTAGGGACTGTCTTCTTTAGTGTTTAGCATAGTGCTTGGTACACAGTGAATGTTTAATAAATGACGTTTTATTCATTAAAAAATAATATATGAATATATGAATATATGAAATACCTGTTCATATGAGCAGGGCCATAGCCACCAAGGGCATATATCATTCCATCCAACACAGCAGCAGCAAAACAACTTCTGGTTTTAGACATCGGTGCTACAGGTTGCCATTCTTTAACTTTGGGAATATATTTCTCTACAGACTGTAAATAAGATTGCCCATCGTAACCACCCAAGGCATAAAGTTCTCCTGCTAGTACAACCACTCCAAGGGTACTTCGGCACTCATTCATTCTCTCAAGAGATGTCCAGGTATTTGTATCAGGATCCCAGCATTCCACTGAATTTTCATGTTTTCTGAAATTGATGCCTTGCCTCATATGAGTTGCAATACCTCCTACAACATATACTTTCTGATCTAAAACGCATATTCCAAATTCATAGCGAGGAGTATTAAGGGATGCCAAACCAATCCACGAGTCATTCTGAGGGAAGTACATCTCAACACTGAAGAAGAAGAAACCATCAGTTACATAAACCAAGAAGGTAAATGTCCAAAACTCAGATTCAGTATTCCAAGCACACAGGTTGTCCCTGATGTCCCCCCTAGAATGTACTTTCTTCACCTTTGCCTCTTAAGAGTCCCTATGTTTCTTCAAAGCTTAGTTTCTACATTAAGCCTTTCCTGATTTCCCAGATGATAATGCTTCTCACCACCCCTACAAAAAATTACCTTATATTTGATATACACATATCTTACATATACTTTTATGTGTGTATGTTGTCTCTCCTGATAGAATGTAAGTTTCTTGAGGGCAGGAATTTTCATTTTCATCTTTGTATCTCCAGCACCAGCCTTGTGCCTTGAACACAATATAACCTTAATAAATGCTTTTTGGTTATGTCACACATAATACAAAGTAGGAAGAAAGATGGTAGTACATCAAAGATTGAATGCATAATCAGTAGAATTACCAAAACCAAAGTATACAATATAGCTAATATTTTGTTTAAAAAAAAAATTGGTCCAAGATGTCTGTTAAATGCTAATAAGGTAAAATAGCTAATAAAGATGCTGTGTCAGCAAGATGGCTCAGTGTTTAGAGTGCTATGCCTGGAGTCAGGAAGACGTGAATTCAAATCCAGCCTCAGATACTTACTAGCTGTGTTTCCCTAGGCAAGTTAATTAATCTGTTTGCCTTCATCCACTGGAGAAGGAAATTGCAAACCACTCCAGTATCCTTGCCAAGAAAACCCCACGGGCAATATTGGTGTGATTTGGTCTAGAGGGTCAAACATGAATGAATGTCTGAACAACAATAATGATGCCCCTTTGAAAACGTTCTTGTTTCATGGTGTTAGCTCATAGTGTATTTTGCATGTAATTAAAAGAAAGCATTCCTCATTTTATAAACTGCGTTAACTTATGACCCTTTTGTAAAATTCACAAAACAATTTTCAGAAATCTAGAATTTGTTCATCTTTTAAAAGCAAAAGAGTACAGAGACATGAAATGTTTTTTGAATAGTTATACTATATCTAAAGAGTACTTCAATTTTTAAATAAGAGTTAGAGAAAAATCAGTCATATTCAATCAAATGATCATTCAACAAGTGTTTATTAAGTACCTAATATGTGTCAAGCATTGTGATAAACGTTGGCGATACCAAGTCAAAAGTTAAACAATTCTCATCCTTAAGATGCTAATATTTTAATAAGGAAAATATGTACAAATATAGATACATACAAGATGCATGTAAAAAAGATACCTAAAAGGGAAAGTCAATAGCAGTTCAGGGAGGACCAGAAAATGCTTCCTGAAGAATATGGTGCTTGAGCTGAGACTTGAAGGAAACAAAGGATTTCAAGAGGCAGAAGAAAGAAGGAAGTGTTATTTATTCTAGGCAAAGGAAACAACCAATGCAAAAACATGAAGACGGTAAATGGCGTATTACATATGAGGAATAGCAAACAGGCCAGTATGACTCAACTGAACACTGCATGGAAGAATAAGTTTTCAGACTAGAAACGGAGGAAAGAAGCAAGGTTGTAAAGAGCTTTGAATGTCAAAATCCATATCTGACCCTAGCAGTAATAGGGATCCACTGTAGATTACTGAGTGACCCATATTGATAGTAATGCCAACATTTTTTTTAAAAAAGAGAGTTACTGAAGGATCTAAAAAATAAATACATAAATAAAGAGAACAGAAGGACATTCACAGACACAGAGGACAGCTTTGAAACTTGTATGTTGAGTTTACTGTATACTTAAAAAAAATTTGTAATACAATTTGATATAAAATTCTTTCTGTTCTTTGTATGTGAAAATACATATATTTGTTGGTGCTTGTTAAGCTCAGAATAAAAAAATTATTCAGAAAAAAAGCATGATCATATAAGGAAATCAAGGAATTGGGAAGGGGAGAGGAAGCATGATGGAGAGTATTTTGGTGAAAGTCAACATATGGAGAAGCAAAAACAATTTCTGTCATCAGAGTATACTGTGATTGTTTGTCCTTCATTTTTGAAGTGGATAAATGACAGATATCACACATGACATCCTGACTTGTGTGTGAACTGGACTGAAGAGAGGCAGAGTTGCACAAAGCTGTCAGCCTCACTCTCTCTTCCATTGAAGTCCAGTAGCAGGACAAAAGTCAAGATGACTGGTGATGGCCCAGGATGCAGTGGATGACCTTGACTTCTCTGATGCCTGACCAAGCTTAAGCTGCCTTCGTGGCCATTGGAATAAGCTGTCCTCATCCGTCTATTCTACTGCATTAAGTCTTCACATGCTTGGGGCAGACATCCCTCTAATTCACCAATAGGTTTCAGGCCTATCAGTTACCTTCAACCTGGTTTAGCTCATCTGCCAAGACAGTTTGCAAGGGTGTGGCTGCTGCATACACTATAGCTTCTTGCAGCCACAGATGAGAGTTAGGTGAATAAAGTGGATGCCAGAGGTGGATGAGCAGCCCTGAAAAGGCCTTGACAAGGCCTCATACCAGAGGTGCTAGTCCTCCTGAACACTCCACATACTCATCGGAGTGTACAGATCACCTGAACAGAAAAAACAAATGAGGAATTTGGGAAATATCACAAATCTGGGGCAGAGGCATAACACAGTAGTGACTAGGAACTTCAATTATCCAGATACCTGCTAGAATTTTTTCTTTCCCAAAAGCAGAGCAAACAATAACTTCTTGATTTGCCTTAGTAACAATTTTATTCTTTAAAAGGTGCAGTAAGTCACATGACAAAATTCTATTCTGGATCAGATTCTATCAACAGATAAGAAATCCTTTCTGGTGTGGAAATGACAAGAACCCTGGGGGAAAATAAACACTCTTAACTGCAGTTTGTGACAGAAGAGAGGGAATAAGGGCATGGTCTGAAATGCACCTTAGATTTGAAGTTCATAGGAAAGTTAGAATTTTGGTAGAATGCTCATGCTACAGGGGAAGTCAGCCTAGAAGGGATACATGGAAGAAACTTAGGAATGAAATTCTATAGAAGTAAATCCTGAAGAAATAATTCTGATGAAGAGGAAAAACAGAATCTTTCTAAAGGGAATTCATCAAACCAATTGAGATTTTAAAAAGAAATACATAGAAGATAGTAGTAAGGCCTGGTAACACGGGATGAATATGAGCATCATACGGTCATTTAAAAATAGTGTCAAAAGTGCTAAATCTCAGAATGAGCTGAGATCGGCAAGGGAAGCTAAGGGCAACCCAAAAAAAAGTTTTTTGGGGTTTTTTTAAGCTATAATGGGAAAAAAAAGGAGGACTAAAGAAGGGAGACTTGTGTCTGGGATGGATGGAACAAAAATAAAAGAAAAGAGACAGAGCCGCTCAATTATCATTTTGCTTGTGTTTTGAGTTTTACAGTGGAAATGACAGAACAAAAATAGCTAACAAGGAGTTGATACACAAAAAAAATAAAGAGATGGAAAAAGAGCACCTAACAGTCCTTAATGCATTTACATTGGCCCAGATGCATATTTTTGGACACCAAAAGGCAGAAGCGTTAACTGAGCCCCTATCAGTGATATTTGACAAACTCAGAGAACACATAAGGACAAGATAATTCGCACCTCTGATGCTTCAGGGCCCCAGTGTCCTTTCCCTTCTTGTGCTGTCCTCAAACTGCTCTTCCTGTGAGCAGCATCTTTGTTGGACAGATATCTCAGTTAGGCTCCTAGTTCATCAGGATTGGCTCTCTTCTTGGCATGCCCATCAGAGAGGTCTCCTGCCTAAAATTCTACCTAGGTCTGTGTCAGGCTCTTTGCTGCGCATGGCTCTTCTACTGAGAAATGTCAGCCCTATCCTTTGGCACAGGTGTAAGGGAAAGGACAAAGAGCAATCCCTTCTCAAAGGCTGGGTTCTTCTACAGCTGCCTCTGTTCTCTGTTGCCAGAAGTCATATTCCTCAGAGGTATTTCTCTCCTCCACTGCCTCCTTTAACGAGTGTCTTCCTTTTTAAAGAGACACTAAGGACATGGACAATTTTTGCCAGTCAACAATCAGCTGCCCTCTAATTCCATCAATTTTGTTTAGAAAATTTTTTTCCTGACCTCAAGGTAGCAGAGTGCAAATAGCTGCAATTCATTAAGAACTTGATAACCACATTGTCTTTGTCACTGGTCCCTTATCTTCAGTGACTTCATTAACTAAGCTGGGAACAAATGAATTGATTAAGGAGTACGCTGATCAACCATTTCTCTACTACACAGAACAAAATTCAGAATAGAAGAGTAATGATTAAAAATGGGACTTGTCAAATTAAGTCCTGTATATAATCTGGAAACATATATGCTTGATAAAGGTTAAATAAAGCTAAGAAATTTATTTCCCTTATTTGTAGTTACATTCTAAAAAGACAGAATGGCTAATATTGACATCATCCAAAATTCATCATTTTCCTGTTCTGTTATATTAATCAATCTGATAGGTATGAAGTGATACCTCAGAGTTGTTTTAATTTGCATTTCTCTAATTAATAATGACTTAGAGCATTTTTTCATTAGTATAGAGAGCTTTGATTTCTTCTTCTGAAAATTGCCTGGTCATATTCTTTGACAATTTCTTAACTGGAGAATGACCTGTATTCTTATAAATTTGACTTAGTTCTCTATACATTTGAGAAATGAAGCCTCTGTCAGAGAAACTTGCTGCAAAAATTTCCCCTCTCCCCCAGTTTTCTGCTTTCCTTCTAATCTTGGCTGCATTAGGTTTGTTTGTGCAAAACCTTTTAAATTTAATGTAATCAAAAGTATCCATTTTATATCCCACAATGCCTTCTATCTATTATTTGGTCATAATTTCTTCCCTTATTCATAGACCTGACAGGTGAACCATTCCATGCTCACCTAATTTGCTTATGATATCACCCTTTCTTGTATAAATCATGTACCCATTTTGACCTTGTCTTGACAAATATTGTGCAATGCTGGTCTGTATCTAGTTTCTGCCAAACTGCTTTCCAGTTTTTCCAGGAGTTTTTGTCAAACAGGGAGTTCTTGTCCCAAAAGCTTGGATCTCTGGGTTTATCAAACACTAGATTAACATGGTCATCTACTACTCTGTCTTGCGTACCTAATCTATCCTACTAGTCTACTACTCTATTTCTTAGCCAGTACCATACTGTTTTGATGATCACCACTTTGCAGTATTGTTTGAGAGCTGGTACTGCTAAGCCACCTTCCTTCACATTTTTTTTTCATTGATCCCCTTGATATTCTTGACCTTTTGTTCTTCCAGATCAATTATTATTTTTACTAGGTCTATTTTTGGTAGCTTGATTGGCATGGAACTGAATAAGTAAATTAATTTAGGTAAAATTATCATTTTTATTATATTGGCTCAGTCTACCCATTAGCAATTAAAAGTTTTTCTAATTATTTAGATCTGACTTCATTTGTGCAAAACGTGTCTTGTAATTGTGTTCATATAGTTCTTGGGTTTGTCTTGGCAGGCAGACTCTCAAATTTTTTATGATACCTATAGTTATTTTAAATATAATTTCTTTTTCTAGGTATTCCTGTTAGACTGTTAGTAACATAAAGAAATGCTGATGATTTATGTGGGTTTATTTTATACTCTGCAACTTCACTGAAGTTTTTCAAAGTTTTTCTACTAGTTTTTCAGTAGCTTCTCAAGGATTCTCTAATTATACCACTGTATAGTCTGCAAGAGTGATAGTTTTATTACTTTACTGCCCATTCTAATTCCTTCAATTTCTTTTTCTTCTCTCATTGCTATAGCTACAATATCTAACACAATATGGTAATAATGGGCATCCTTGCTTCACCCCTGATCTTACTGAGAAGGCTTTTAGCCTATCCCCATTACACATAATGCTTGTTGATGGTTTAAAATAGATATTACTCATCATTTTGAGGAAAGCTCCATTTATTCCTATGCTTTCTAGTGTTTTTAACAGGTTTTTCCTGCATCTATTGAGATCCTATGATTTTTGGTGTTTTTGTTATGCATATGGTCAATTATGCTGATAGTTTTCCTAATGATAAACCAGCCCTGCATTCTTGGTATAAATCCCATTTGGTTATAGTGTATAATCTTTGCAATATATTGCTATAATCTCCTTGCTAGTATTTTATTTTAAAATTCTGCATCAATATTCATTCTGGAAATTGGTCTGTAATTTTCTTTTTCTGTTTCTGTTCTTCCTGGTTTAGGAAAAAAAAAAGCCAACGGTATGCTTTGATCTACATTCAAACTCCATAGTTCTTTCTCTGGATGTGGATAATATTTTCCATCACGAAACTTTTGGAGATGTCTTAGATCCTTGCGTTGCTGAGAAGAGCTAAGTCTATCAAAGTTTGTCATCGCACAGTGTGGCTGTTACATTCATATACCACAACTTGTTCAGCCATTCCCCAATTGATGGGCATCCCCTCAATTTCCAATTCTTTACCACCACAGAAAGAGCTGTTATGAATATTTTTGTACATGTGGGTCCTTTTCCCATTTGTATGATCTCTTTGGGGTACAGCCCTCGAAGTGCTATTGCTGGGTCAAAGGGCTAACTCTCTTTTTAATAGCTGTTTCTCATGTATAGGAATCTCTTCCTCCTCAACTTTATCTCCTCACTTCCCTGGCTTCCTTCAAGTCTCAGCTAAAGGCCTACCTTCTAAAGGAAGTCTTTCCTTGTCATTTTAATCTTAGTGTCTTGCTTCTAAGACTATCTCCAATTTATCCTGTCTATATCTTGGTGATTCATCTATTTTTCGGGAGGGGCGGGTGGTGTGTGAGGCAATCGGGGTTAAGTGACTTGCCCAGAGTCACACAGCTAGTGTCAAGTGTCTGAGGCTGGATTTGAACTCAGGTCCTCCTGACTTCAGGACTGGTGCTCTATCCACTGTGCCACCTAGCTGCCCCATACATCGTGTTTTTACATCGTTGTTAACATGTTGTCCCAACCATTAGACTGTCACCATAATAGCTTTGTATTACTGAATTCCTTTTGTTTGTTCATTCTTCTGGCCTACTTCCTGATTTTGGACTTTGAATTAGGAATGGGTAAGTCCTATTGATGCCCTCTTGGGGTACTGATTATTCTGTTATTCCAGTATCTCAGGGACAGCTCAGCTTGAAGACTTGAAAGCTTTCAGCGCTCTGAAAGTGGTCTAAATCAAGGCAAAATACGTTCACTGCCCCCTGGGTCTGAGTTGTGCAAATTTCTGACCTGGGTTTGGTCTAACAACAATTGATAGCTGCTGGATTTAATCACTGTGTGCCAATTGGGAAATTCTACTCATTAAGAGTGACAGAAGCGTAGGCTCTGCTTTGGTCTGAGACGACTCCTCTGATTATTCCCCTGTAGGCTTCAGACTGAGCTAGATGCTGGAACTGAGACCCCACTCTGCTTCCTATAACATGAACCACACTGCTGCTGCTCCTCTTTCAGGACATAGCCCAGGGAATTCTACTGCTCCCTTCCGGGGAACTCCACCCCTGGGTCCAGGACCCCTCAGACTGCCCGAGACTTTTGACTAAGACCTGGGTAGAAGACAACACCGCACCACTCGTGTCAGAGTGCTTTGGTACTGGCATGGAACCTTCTTTTGACCCTGTGCCCTATTGCTCCCTGGGCATTGCAATGCTCTGTGGCCCAGCTCCTGACCAGACCCCATCCCGAGTATCCACAAACCTGTCTGTTTTGTCACTCTATGCCAACTTAGGCCAGAAAAATGACTCACTATGACTTTTTCTTGGATTTCCCCACCTGTATTTAGTCTGGTAGATTTTCTAAATCTGTCTGGAGGAGTTCTGAGGGGAAATTCATTGGTTGTAGTGCATCCTACTACTCTACTATCTTGGCCCTAACCTCCCTCATGCCCCATCCCTTGCCATAACTTACTTTTGAACGCAAAGCACCAACAATTAAGTATTCCCTTCCCTCGCCAAATTTCAGATATGAGAGGGAACATAACTTGTAGGCTGACCTCAAAAACGGACTACTTTAATTAAGAATTTATAGTGTAATAAGAAGGTCAACTTAAAATATCAATTGTAGTCAATACTTTGGGAATATTTATATACACCTCTTACCCTAGACTTGTGACTAAATTACTCCCTAGCACAATCACTAGAGTTACTGCCATTTAAGGTAACATCAGAAGTGTACCATCCAATTTTAGAGAAGCAATTATGCCATCGTAGTAGATTACAACTCAGGAAAACTAGCTAAAGAAGTTGATGCAGGAAGATCATGCACTGTCAACAGTCTTAGGGACACAACTTGCTTCTCTGGTCAAAGAAGGAACCAGCCTGTGATCTAAATTGCTTCAGGGTCTGATAATTACTATATGCTTGAATTTTCTGGCCTTCAATTTTTCTCTATTACTATAAAAGGTAGTGTAAAGTCAGAAAGGCAAATAAGGAGAAGAGAAAGAAGACTATGAAGAGAATAAATCTACCTAAGAGAAATCTAAGCAACAAGAAGAAACAGGATGAAAATGGAGAGATTAAAGAATAAAATAAGTAAACAGGAATTCTGCATAAGAATAAGAAAAAAAACCCCAGCATTTGTGAACATAAGTTCCAATATATTTTAAACATTCTGTTGGCTTTTACTTAAAAAAAAAAAAATTTAGGCTTACTGGGAAAAAAAAAGCCCAAGTTCCAAACACTAATACCTTGAAAAAAAAAAAAAGAAATGAAATCCTAATTATAAAATGAACTCACATCATTTTCTTAAAAAGAAAAAATGTGTGTATGTGTGTAATTACACAAAGAAAAAAACCCTTGTGTTTTATCTTCTGTCAATCACTTAAACTTTTTTTAATTTCTGCTTACCTTTCCAAACAAGCAAACAGTCCAGCTTTTCCTCCTACTGCACAAAGTACTTTTGGAGCACAGCGAGGTCGTGTCATCAGGACAGTCTGATGTGAAAGTCTGTGTTCAGGCATAAAATGGTATTTTAGAGCTTCATTCAATAGATGTTTACATGTATGATCATCGCGAATAAGATGATTTGCTTCATATAACCTAGTAAGAAACTTAACGCTCAACAATGGTAATCTAACGCAATGAAGCAGCTGTGCTAAGTATTTCTGACGTTCTTGTACATCATACTTGATCCAAGATTCTAGTGCATAAAAAACAGTCTCTTCAGTAACAACATTAAGACAGTCATTTGAAATAATTTCATCTAAATCTGCATGAGTGAGCTCAAAAAACTCTTCAGTTTGACAAACATCTTCAAAATTTTGGCAAATATACTTATTGGCTGCCAAATAGAGGTCATGACAGCCATATGTCTCTGCAAAACGAGAAATTCCAATGCAATTTCCAGGATCAAGCTGACTTTCGAGAAATGCACAACATTCTTTCAGTACAAGTTTTATTTGGAGTAGATTTGCTGCTGGCAGGAGTGACTCTACTGTATCCTGGGAAATAAACACAGTCCCTGTATAGGCATACTCCACTATGGCCTGCAGTGCAGCTTCATCAATGCACTGAAATTCAACTTCGTTATTCTCTTTTTCAGAAAGGTTTCCAGTGAACATGGCTTTGAAATAAGGGCTGATGCTGGCAAGCACCACTTTATGAGCATGAATCTTAACATCACCAACTCGAAGAATAATGTCACAGAGCTCATGATGTTGACGAAGAAGATTCAGACCCTGCAGAAGCTGTTCAGAATGTAAGAGGGTTAAGTTAGCAAGCATGTAGGTTGGGGGCGTCTGGTCCATCTGTAAAAACAGAAAACATGGACAGTTTTATTTTCAAAAGAAATCTTGCCAAATTATCCTCTTTCTAACAGTACAAAGAAAATCAATTATTTTCTTTTTTCAAATGCAAGTCTTTCATTTCAAGTACTTCAACAAAATATTTTGGAGTTGGAAGAGAATTTAAAGAACATCTAATCCAGCTCTGATATTTTAAAGAAAATTAAGGCCCAGAGAGGTTAAGTGACTTGTCCAAGATAACATCTGTATAGGTGGAAAGCTAAGACTAGTTAGTGTTTTTTTCATTGCATTATGATCCCTCTCTTTCAAATTTCAAATCTAACCTCTTAACACAACTACCCCGATGAAATTCAAATGTAAAAGGCCTAATTTAGTGTAGATTGAATACTGAGATCAGAAATGGTAATATTTAACTGTTTTTATTGTAACCTATGGCTTCATTACGAAAGCTATAAACTCATATGGACCAGATTCAATCTTGGGGATTTGCTATACAATCTTTATGACTGCTCATTTTGCACCTATCTAGGATTTCCTCTAGGAACATTCCAACATGGCTCTTTTTGGCCCTACCAAGAGTTTTCCTGAGGAATGCCAGACCTTGGCTCATGTCCCAGGTCCTTCTGTTCCTAAGCAAGCACTCAGGTTAATAAAATATCAACTACAAAACAAGTTTTTGTAATCTAACAAAAAAATATGCAAAAGACTTAAACCTAAGCCCATAAATAGGACAAATTTCTCTTCCCTTTCTTGTTGGCTTCTTACTTGTTGAAGATGCAGTACTTAAATGATCAAAGGATATGAATATGCAATTTTCAGAAGAAAAATCAAAGCTAAGTCATGAAAAAATGCTCTGAATCACTACCCTTTAGAGAAATGCAAATTAAAACAACTCTGAAGTATCACCTATCAGATTGGCTAATATGGCAGAAAAGGAAAATGATAAATGTGGAAAAACTGGGACACTAATGCACTATTGGTGGACTTGTGAACTGATCCAACTACTTTAGAGAGCCATTTGGTCCAAAGGGCTATCAAACTGTGCATATCTTTGATCCAGCAATAGCACTACTAGGTCTGTATCCCAAAGAGATTAAAAAAAAGGGGGAGTAGGGGAAGAGGACCTATTTGTACAAGGAAATTTATAGCAGCTCTTTTTGTGGTGGTAAAGAATTAGAAATTGAGTGGATGCCCATCAACTGGAGAATGGCTAAACAAGTTGTGGCATATGATTGTAATGGAATACTACTGTGCTATAAGAAATGATAAGCAGGATACTCTCTGAAAAACCTGGAAAGACTTACATGAATTGATGCAGAGTGAAGTGAGCAGAACCAGAACACTGTATGCAGTAACACCAATATTGTATGATAAACAACTGTGAATGCCTTAGCTATTCTCAGCAATACAATGATCCAAGATAATCCCAAAGAACTAATGAAGAAAAATGCTAACCACCTCCAGAGAACTGACAAAGTCTGAGTACAGACTAAAACATACTATTTTTCCTCTTTCTTCCTTCCTTCTTTTCTTTCTGGGTCAAGTTTTCTTTCACAAAATGACTAATATGGAAATGTTTTATATGATTGTACATATATAACCTATATAAGATTGCTTACCCACTCAGAAAGGAAGGGAGAGAATCTGGAACTCAAATTTTTTTTAAATGTTAAAAAAAATTGTTTTTACACACGTAATTGGGGGGGAAATAAAGTATTATTTTTAAAAATGTAATGGGAAAACATTTACCAAAACAAAATAAAACAAAACAAAAAAATACAACACTAAAAAAAAGATATAGTACTTGAATCATAAAGTACTACTTTGAGTAGAACTGCACCTCTAAAGGAAAAAGAATCAATGAATACCCAGTCTGGAGGGCCCTTACTTTCCCAGCAACTTATACAGCTCTTCCAACTTATAGTACTGCCCTTATTTGGTAACCTCCTGCAGAGGGAAAGGACGTGGAGCTGCTATTCTCCACTGATAGGTTCTACCTTGCCTACCCAGTCTAAGTGATAGTACAGCAAAAAGATATGTATGTATCGCTCCCCTATCCTCTGGCTCCTACTGTTTTCTTCCTCCAAAGGACCTCTCCAGAACCTCTGGTACTCTCTTCCTCAGGAAGACCCTTCTCTATACTCCTGTATCTCTAACCAGCATAAGGCCTTTGTACATAAGGTTCTTGAATGCTTGGCAAGTTCCCTGTGGGAGATATTTGTATATACATATAGGTCTTTCTACAAGGAATTAAATCTATATCTACACATGACTCCTCTCACCTCTAACCTTGCAGCTCTCTTTTGGAAAATGTTCTTTTGTCATTTTGAAGGCTCATCCAGTCCAGATGTATGAACATCATTATCAATGTAGGATAAATTCTATTTTTTTCTTTTTCTACTTTTTTTTTTATTAATTCATCTTTAGTTTTTAACAATCACTTCCATAAGCTTTTGAGTTTTAAATTTTTCTCCCCCTCCCTTCCTGCGATGGCGTGCAAGCCAATATAGGCTCTACATATACATTTTTATCAAACATATTTTCACGTTAGTCACGTCGTAAAGAAGAATTAGAACCAATAGGAGGAACCATAAGAAAGAGGAAACAAAGCAAAACAGAAGGAAAAAAAAGAGTAAATAGTATGCTTTGATCTGCATTCAAACTATAGTTCTTTCTTTGGATGTAGATGTAGGATAAACTCTTGATCCTCCTTGCAGTAGCATTTGAAATATTCACATCGCGGTCAAAGGGACACAAAAAAAGGTGTTTCTATTAAGATTGTGTCTAGGCATATTGCAATAATGCAAGATTAAAAAGTACATAATGCTTGGCAACCTGATACACAGATTTCTTAATCTGATTAAATTTTCTTAATGTGGATATAAACAGGGACAAATATTATCCCAATTTTCCTAAGAGGGAAGAGGTTAGAGAATGCAAGCTACTGGCAAATGAGTTTGATTTAAATTTCTGGCAAAATTCTAGAATGTATTATTAAAGGGAAGGTCAGGACATAATTCACTGATCAAGCAAGAACAGATTACTATATTTTTTAAAGGGTAAGTAGATATAAGTTATATATCAGCATAACATCTTATGCTGATGACTTACTGTGGTGAGGAGGTGACCCTAGATAAAGAATCCCCTTCAGAAATACTCAGAATTAAATTTTCTCTTGTAACAAAGAAAAACAGACAGGCAAGATCAAGAAATAGTGACCACATCTGACACTGTATGAAACATTCTGCCCTGTAGTCTCTTGCCTCTCTCTGCTGGAAGGAGAATGAAAAAAGAATGGTTTACTTACTATAATTATTCAGATTTTGCCTTCCTTTTAAAGTTCTTTTCATTTACTTTACTATAATCATTGCATACATTTTGGGCAGGGGTCTACTTATTTCATTCTACAACAATTCATACAAATCTCACCATTTTCTCTGAATTCTCACATTTGTCATTTCTTAGATCAGACCAGATTGGATAGGATCACACAATTTCATTGGTACGGGGAATTTCTGGTGAGGAAACTTCCTCTACCAATGCAGGTCTGCATCTAATTTACAAGCTATAAGTTATTACTGAGAGAGTTATTTGGGACACTAGGAGATTCAATAACTTGCTCAATATCACCCAGATAGTATGTGTCATTGGCAGGACTTAAACTCAGGCTTTCCTAATTCCAAAGATGGTTCTCTATCTACTATACCATGATGCTTTTCATATCATTTCTTATTGCAAAATAATATTCCATGTAGCAGTTAGTTAAGACATTTCCTAATCAACAAGTAACCACTTTGCTTACAGTTCTTTGCTCTCACAAGAAGTGCAACTATCAATATTCTGGTATATATTAGATCTGTCTTTCATCTTGGTGGGACACACAGTAGTAATGACCACAAATTCAAAAGGTATGGAAAATTCAATCACCTTTCTCAAATAATTCAAGTTGTTTTTCGGAATGGGTGGATCAATTCACAGCTCTGCCAAAAGTGTACTAGCAAACGTGTCTTCCCACAGACTTTTCAACATTGGCAAATAATAACAAAGGATGGAAACAGTCAATTTGCTGGGAGTTCTTTTAATTTGCATTTTTCTTATTATTACTGATTTGCAGCAATCTTTCATTTGGTTGCTGATAGTTTTGGTTTTTTTTAACCATTTAGCCACTGGGGAATGGCACTTGGTGTCTATGTATTTGTGTCAATTCCCTACATATACTGGATATCAGACTGTTTTTAATCAGTGATAATTGATGCAAAGATTTTCCCCTACTCATCTTCTTACTGCATCTGCAATGATTTTTAGTGTAGAAGCTTTAAATTTTATAACTAAAATCATCAATTTTGACTTTTATCACTGCCTACATCCCGTTCAGTTAGGATGAGTCCCACTGACCATAATTGTGTACTTCCATTCTTTTCTATATTTTATAAATGATGCAATTTTTATATTTAGTATTTGTACACATATGTATTTTACCATAGATACTGTATAAGATGCTTGGCCATCCATTTTAAAAAACTTTTATTACTATTTTTCAATTAAAAAGCATTTATTTTCTCTTGCCCCTTCCACCTGAATGAAACAAAAACAAAACCTTTGTAACAAACATGTAGAATCAAGCCAAACAAACTCCCACATTGACCATGTCCAAAGATGTATATCCATTTTTCATCCTGAGTTCATGAACTCTCTGTCAAGAAGTGGGTGGTATGCTTATCTTTGGTCTACTGGAATCCTAGTTCATCACTTCATTGATCACAGTTCTAAAATATTTCAAAACTGTTCTTCTTTATAATGCTGTTATTATATAAACTGCACTCCTGGCTGAGCTCATTTCACTTTTCATCAGTTAATACATGTATAGGCCTAGTAGAGGTATCAGAAGCAAAGGATATGCACAGTTTAGGGACTTTGGGGACATGATTACAAATTGCTTTCCCAAATAGTTGGACCAATTCACAATTCCAATACCTCATTAGTGTGCCTATTTTCCTTCATTCACTCCAAGAACTGCCATTTTACTTTATGTCATCTTTGTCAATCTGATAGGTGTAAAATGGAATTGCATTTCTCAAACCATTAGGGACTTGGTCATTTTTTGACATGGGTGTTTGTTAGAAGTTTAGATTTTTTTCCTTTGAAAACTGCCTGTTTGTATCCTTTGACCATTTATCTACTATGGAATGGCTCTTATTAAAAATTTGAATTGGTTCCTTATGTACCTTGAATTTCTGCCAGACTGCTTTCCAGTTTTCCCAATGGGTTTTGTCCAATGGTTAAGTCCTTACCCCAGTAGATGGAGTCTTTGTGTTTACTGAAGGGTATACTAATTAGTTTGCTTCTGTATGTTGTATACCAGGCTAGCTAAGTACAGAGAGGCTGCTCAGAGGTAGGCTGACCACTTGGTAATGAATACTTTTGGTCAAGATAATCCCTGAAATAAAGAAACATACAAACTGACCTCAGTCCAGTGTGGCCCCCTTCTGATCCCGTAGTGATGCTAGCATAACATCAGAAAAGGAAGGAGAAAGTGTTAAGAATTAGAATTTTTAGACAATCAGTAAACATTAACTTAACTGTTGGTAATCTAAACATGAGACTCTTGACCAGTTAACAACAAGGGGACTTACTATTGGATGAATGGAAACATAAAAATATTGACATTCTTACTATAAATGAAACTGGAAGACAAAAGGAAGTTGCTGCTGAATGGAAGTATGACTAACAGATATTCCCTGGAGAGATAAAGAGTTGGTGTGGTTGGTTTTATTGTGCTTCCAAAGGCAACAACAAATATCACTGCAGAGAATATTTGATCTCACACTGAAATGCTAATTATGAAGGTAACTGTAGTTCACGTACCAACACCTATTGAAGATGATGAAGTGGTAAAGATATCTTAAAAAGAACTCAACAAAATTCTCTAAATTAAATCACTATATCTAAATATAGGGCAACTTCAATGTAAAGATGGGTATAGAGGATGGTGGGGAAAAATATTAGAAAACACAATTCAGGTATAAGAAATAAAAGACTTGTTGATTTTACCTAAGCCTTTGACTAGATAATACAAACACTTTTTAAAGTGATCAGTACAGATCACAATCCATCCTTGACTTCTCACCCTGTGTGATACTTGTCCATGTCATTCTGTAAAACAAGAGGTCTACACTACAGGTTGGAGATGCTAACAGCTTCCACTTAAATCCTCTGACATTGTCCAGGTACTGTTGGAACACATAGACTGTGCATTGGTTATCTTTCTCCATGCTAGCCCCACTTTTCTGGTTGTACAACTCTCATTCAGAGAGCTCTCACTTAGAACTACAGCATCAGCAAAGTAACTGGAAAACAGAATGCTATAGATATACTTTACCAGAGCAGCTAGGTGGCACAGCAGATAGAGCACCAGCCCTGGAGTCAGGAGGACCCGAGTTCAAATCTGGCCTCAGACACATATCACTCACTAGCTGTGTGACTCTGGACAAGTAAGTCACTTAACTCCAACTGCCTCACCAAAACAAAAACAAAAAAACAAAAACCTTCCTGATATACTTTGCTAAATTTAGCAAAGCATTTGAAAAAAATCTCTTTTCTTATTTTGATGAACAAGATAGAGAGATAAAAGCTCAATGACAGTATAAATAGGTACAGTCAACTAGGAGAGTAGTCTCCCGTGGTTCCTCAAAGTATATGTCATTGGTTACCTTGTGTTATTTAACATTTTTATCAAACACTATGGTTTCATCCAAATGAAGCCATAAAAGTCACTTTCATTAAATGTGTAGATGACAGGAAGTTGGTACAGAGAACCAACATAACAGGCTGGCAGTGTCAGGATCAAAAAAAAGATCTCAATAAGCTGGGGTAGTAAGTGAAAGAAAAGATGAAATTTAATGGTATTCCTGTTAATCTAAGTAAAGTTCACATGATAATAGGTATAGAATAGGCAGAGCCCTTATTAGTTAACTAGTTTAAATCCCTGACTTTAAAGATACGATAGTCATACCCAGTTCCTCTGACTCCAACCTTGCAGTCTTTTCATGACCTAGTTCTGCAGAGGGGATCAAAAAATTAATTTCACCACTATAGTTTAGGGAATCATGGCTAGATTATAATTTGTGTGAGAGAACCTCAGTCCTTTAGGGACCTCCAAACCAAAATGAAATGGCTAAAATGCTAATACTATCCCAAGTACAAATGAATTAGTATCTAGAATGTCATGGTTAGACTACATCTAGAGTTTTCTGTTCAGTTCTAGGTGCTACATCTTACAAACAGTACTGACAAGCTGAGAGTATATCAAAAGGAAGATAGCCAGGATGGTGAGGGGTCTGGTGATAATTCCACACAGGGATCAATGAGAATTGGGATATTTAGGCTGAAGGCCTAGCCGTGTGATCCTGAGCAAATCATTTAACCTCTCTAAGCCTTAGTTTCCTCATTTGTAATATGGGAATGATAATAATAGCACTTAACTCAAAGAGTTGTTTTGATGAAATAACATGTGTAAATTGCTTTGCAAACCTTAAAGCATATATAAAGCCTAGTTATTATGAGAAAAGAAAACTTGAGGAAGCAAAAGAGCTATCTTCAAAGATTTAAATAGCTGTCATGTGAAAGACATGGTCTTTCTTGGTCCCTGGTAGGAGAACCACAAATAGTGAAGAGAAGTTGCACATAGGCAAATTTAAGCTTGGAAAATCTTTCTAATAATTAAAATTGTCCAAATGTGAAATGGGTTGTCCCAGGACAGGGTAAATTCTCCTTGTGTCTAAAGGTTTTCAACTGCTAAGTGGATGACCATGTTGGATACTGCAGAAGAGATTTTCAGTTAGATACAGACTGTTCTTAGAGGTACCCTTCAACTGTGATGATGTGACTTTAATCCATAAAATTAGCAAACTGTAATAATATATCGTTAGGATATGAATGAATGCCATTAAAGTACTATTCTGAAGCATTCTGGTAGTATAGTGATGACTCTGGATTTCTGAAGGCAATGCCAAAAGAGTAGACTCAGAAGATAAGCTCTTCTATCTCTATACTGTTTCCCTTGGTGATCTCATCAGTATCCATGGTTTTAATTACCATCTCCATACACATGATTCTCATCTGTTTGTCCAGTCCTAACCTCTCTCCAGATCTCTCATTTCTAACTGACTATTCATCTCAAACTGGTTGTCTCATAGACATCTTAAATTTAACTTGTCCCAAATGGAACTTATCTTTCCTCCCAACTCTAACTCTACCTCTACCCTCTTCAACACTTCCCTATTATTGCTGAGGGTACCACCATCCTCCCAGTTACCCAGTTTCGTTAACATAGGGGTCATACTCAGCTCCCCATTAACTGTGACTCTCCATATCCACTCAGTTGCCAAGTCCTGTTAATTCTACCTTCATAACATTTCTTGTGTATGTTCCCTTCTTTTCTCTGACATGGTCACCACCCTGGTGCAGGCTCTCATAATCTCAAGCCTGGACAATTGCAATAGCCTGCTGGTTGGTATCCTTGCTCCAACTGTCTCCCTACTGTCTATCCTCCACTTAGCTATCAAAAATGACCTTCCTACAGCACAGGTCTGACCATTTCCCTGTTTATTTAGTAAATTCTAGTAGCCCTCTATTACCTCCAGAATTAAACACAAGCTCTTCTATTTGGCTTTTAAGCCCTCCATGGCCCATTCTTACCTCTCCAGCCTTCTTATACCTTACTCCTCCCTCCGAGTCAGTGACACTGGTCTCCTTACTGTTCCTTCCACAAGGCACTCCATTTCCCAACTGTGAATGTTTTCAGTCTGTCCCCCCATGCCTGGAACTCTCTCCCTCCTCCTCTACACTTCCTTGATTCCCTGGCTTCCTTGAAGTCTCAGCTAAAGGCTTACCCTCTGACATAAACTCTTCTTTGCCCTTGTTAACCTTGGTGTCTTCCCTCTGGGATGATATCCAATTTATTCTTTATATGTCTTATTTGCATATAGTTGTTTACATGTTGTCTCAACCATTAGATTATGACCTCCTAGAGAGCTAGAACTAATTTTTGCCTTTCTTAGTATCCCCTACATTTAGCATAGTACCGATCTGGTACACATAGTAGGCCTTTAATAAATATTTATCATTGACTTGATCTGACAGATTCTACCAAGATAAATTCAAAGAGAACATTTGATGAACTTGGTGTTCACAAGGTGATGAACTCTTATAGTCACAAAAGTTCATAGATGATCTATTTATGTTTGTGAGTTGGAGGGTATATTCATAATAAAACCTCAGATCCTTCAGGTACTGAAGTATTATACATAATGGCAGAATTTTAAAAGAAATGAAATAATTATATTACTGTTCAGTTATTCAACCTAAGCTAACAAGTAACAAATACCTAACAAGTATTTATTATGTGTACAGCAGGATTTGTTATGTGCTCAGTTAAATTCATTCACCACACAAGAATTTTTTTTTAATATGCACAGAACACAGTCTGTGCTATGACAGTTCAACTATCAATCATATTCATTTCTACCTAACTCCTGACTATATTCCCTGACCATGCCCTGCTATCTACCTAATACATTTTTCACTTGGAAGAATGAAAAGATATAAAAGCTAGACAAAGAATTAGAAAGAACGAAATGAGGAAAATGAGAGACTAAGTAGTAGGATACTTCTAGAATGATCATATCTGCCCATCAGACAAGTAGAATCTATAAATAAAGTCGTTTTGTTCATCTCACAATTCCTCTCTAGCCTCCTCTCACCAGATACATAAAACACACATTAGATGGTTACCAAAGTAGATGATGTGGTTCTATTGCCCTAAAAGATGCTCATAACTTAGAAAAAAGATTTTGTAACCATAACATACTGGTGACCCTGGGACATACTGGAATCTCATTCCTATGATTTTTGGAATGAAGGAATAAAGAACACATAGGTATGGAGAGTCTATCCAAATTGGTCATTTTTTTTTTAATTCTCCTCCTACTTCCTGTCTTTCCTTTCCTGACTACATCCTAGGTCCAATACCTACATTTAACCTAACGTTTCTGTAGCTATCATCCTATTCAAGGCTCTAATCTAATATCCTACAGGAAGATAGCCACCTAGTCCTCCCGTGGTCGCCTTGATAAAATATCAATTCCCCTAGTCAAAGAATAAACACCAAGTTGCTCAATGAGTGAAGTCTTTGTTTTAGCATTCATTGAAGTTCACGGATAGTTCACATATCTGAGCTATGTAGCCTTAGGCTTGGTTTTTAAACCAAGGGCTACACAGCCTCAAGAGAGGTAAGAGAGAGAAGGTGGAAGACATGCAAGAAGGGCTACAGAAAGATATGGCCTGGGTTCCCTGTTTAAAAGTCTATGTAACACAGTTCATCCTGGGAACCATGTAGTCCCAGGAAATTGGACAAGCTGAGAGATAGAGGTAAGAGAGCGGCCAGCAGCCAAATAGTAGTAGCAGAGGAAGAGAGTTCCTAGAACAAGCTCAACCTAGGAATGG